TTACATTTTCCGATTTTTTCCATTTACCATATATATTTTTTCTTTGCGTTGTGGGTTTATTTTGGTGCGGGTGAAAGTAGCACTAAAAGTGTTGCTGCCATTGCTGCCATGTATGCAGACAGTTGCAACTTGATTTTGCTCAACGACTGACGGAGTTGTTCGCTTACTGGCTTGGTTGTTGGTTTGTCGTCGCATACTGGACATGAATGCTCATTTGCATATTTTCCAATTTACAACATGATAAAGCTGCTGTTAATGTTATTTCGTTGGTGGCAATGTTGTTGCTCAAGTTGTACATGAACTTCAAATTATACCAAAGGGTGTCGTTGGCTTGTAGACCAGTGTAAGACTCCTATTTTCAGCATTGCTGACCCTTGCTTGTCATGTTTAATATTTCTTCTGCATAAATGTAAGGTTAAATTTTGGTATTAAACTCAGACTTTTCACTCCACCCCATTCCACTTTTCCAAAATGCAACTGTTAACTAAAATATTCTTTTTCGGTTTATTTTCAACACAACAAAACAACAATTGTATTGTTTTTAATATTCTGTTTGCTGTTATTTCTATTACTTAAACACTCACATATTTTATGAATGTATGTGTGTGTGCACATAGTATTGAACTTTTGTTGAAAGACTTCCTAACACCTACAAAGGATAGTCCTTGCTTTGACACTTAGACCAAGTCCAAGTCCAATTACAAGTCTCGAACTCTGTTCTGTGTGTAAGAGAGTGTTATACACCTTAGTATCAACGAAGCGACTGCTAACGACTTCTTTGTGTGCAGTTGTGCGCACTTGTGTTTGTGCCTAGTGCCTAGAAGTATGCAGCATACTTTAACTCATTTTCGATATTCACTTACGTGTCAGCTGTATTCGGTGGTTCAGTGCCAACAAGCTTTTTGCAAGGACCAACTAACAACCAACTCATTAGTAATGCCATGTGCGTTTGTCTTGCAGTTGCCGTTGCCGCTGCCGCTACCGCCACTCTTGCTGCTAACATAGCAGGGATGTTGCCGTTGTTGCACTAACAAAATTGCTCATACCAGCGCATTTGAAATGCATTTCGGTTGCGGTTCATTCCTTTCTTTACTTAAGAAAACTCATTTTTTTTTGCATTTCTTTCTTTTAATGTTATTTATCTTTTTTACTTTACTTTTACTTGAAATAAATATTTTTTATATGATTTTCCTTCTTACATTTGTAGATATACAATATTTTATTTTGCATTCAAGGCTTTGGCGTTGCGCGTGACCTGTCTCACAGTTTGCCTCCAAATATTTAGTGTAAAAGGGAAGGGAAGGAATAGGAATGGCGTCTTGTTGAATAAAAGTATGAAAATCCTTTGCTTTGCTGTAGCTTGACGCTCTGGTGAAAGCTAAAATTCGATTTTGTGCGAAATTGTCAAAATGGCAAAAATATCCAGTATCTTTTTTTATTTTATCTTTTTTTCTTAATTTTTTCTCAGCGTCAACGTGGCAAAATATGGCATATTAAAGTGGCACGTTGCTACGCATATAAATAATTCCAATCAATTTTGGTTGTTTGCTTTTGCTTTGAAATCCATTCAGTAAAGACATTGGTAATATACATTTTCTTTAAAAAAAGTGATATTAACTCTAGTGTCAATATACTTTATTAATATTAATTTTTGCTTGCAAAAGAAATATATTAAACCTCAAATTGCATTTTCAACTTCTTTTGATTTTTAAGAAAATTTACTGTAAGGATTATAAGTGAGATGTGCTTGTTGTGGTCCTTTTATGGTTTTTGATATATATGTATTAGATACCAAAGTGCCACTAACTAACAGTAGCAAATAATGAACAAAAAATTGGAACTGAGAAAATACTAAATTATTTAGTGTTTTGGTAACGGGATGACCCTTGTACAGAAATCAACTTTTTTAGTACAAGGATTACTTAATTAACTACATTTTCATCTCTTAGAAAATTTTTTACTAAGTCATTCCTAAAGTAAGTATAATGTGATATAAGCGTTGATCACAGATTCAAGCATTGAGCATAAGTTTTTAGTTTTCAAATATTTTTTTATCAATTCTATTTTTTTTTTCCTTGGCTCAAGAGTCCTTAAAGTACCATTCGGACATTGAATATAACTACTTTCGTTTTTTAAATATTTTCCTCATCAATTCTCCTCTTTTTTAGCCATAGTTATTCTTTTGATAGCATAACTACTATTGGTTTTCAAATATTTCTCTGATAAATTCTTCGTTTTGTTTCTTTCCGGCGCAGTCATTCAAATATCTAAGCCTATCTGTATTTTAATCTTAACTTCACTATACTTCAATCAGTTTATCTGTGCTATCCCAAGCAAAATTTAATTACATAAATAATTTAAATAAAATTATTTATAAAGTTTGCTTTTAAATGCTTTGCCATAAGAAGTTCGCTGTTGCCACATACGCAATGCAGTTGTCATTAACCTGAAACACTGCAAATCGTTAAATTTTATATATCGAAATTGTTTTTGTGCATAATTTATGAAAATTGTGACAACCCGCGGAGCTCACAACTCCCATTTAAATTTCTTGAAAACTCTTCCTCCCCTCCAACTCCCCTCCACTCGAAACGACAATGAACATTTCAGCAATTCACCAGCAGAGCGGAAACACCAGCGCCATTTGCATTTTATACCCCAACAACGTGAGTGTGGCGTAGTTTGTTGCAATCGGAAGACGCGTTATAAAATAGAGTAAGGAGTCGAAAATATGTCCTGAAACTACAAACTCACGTGAAAGTTTAGTTCGAATTGTGAATTTAATTTTATTTGTTTTTTTTCTTGCCTCCACTTCGTTGTAGGCAGAAATTGTGGAAAACTTTAAAAGCAGGACAATGCCATAAAAATCCGAAAGGTGACATTTTGTGGAATTCTCGTATTTTATGAGGTTTACGGGTGTATTAAACTATATTGGTTGGTACTGCATATTACCTGCAATGAGGAAAACGCCAGCAAATGCTTAAGGGAAGACGAAAATGCAACGATTTGAAGTTTGAAGTGTTTGAAGACATGAGCATTTATTATTCACCATAAATTTTGAATATAAAAATTGAAATTTAGTAAATACAATTAGATAGAATGTCTTTCTTTAAGTTAAGAGTTCCTAAAGTAGAACAAAGACTTGTGGTTTGAAACCATCATTAGTCTTCTAAACTAAATTGTTATGAAATTCACTACTCTTATTCTGACACACCTTTTTATTTTATGTTCCACCAAAAAAGTGTAGAAAGGAGTATTATTATCATGTTCTCTAAGAGACATTTAAAAATAAAAAAGACATTAACAGAAAATGGGTATTTATATTAAGGTCACTAATAACAAACTCAAGTAGTTGGTAAGATCAAACACTACGGGTATTTACCTAACTGTGTGGCTTTCACCTTTTCAGATTTATACTTCAGTTTGTAAAATTAATTTCTTTTTTGGACGTGAGAACCAACCATAAAACCTCTATGGAAATCTTGCAGAACATTCCAGACCACCACTTAATACATTTATTCAATATTTTTCATAACACGCAAATCGATGCATTAAATCAGTTGAATGAGAAATTTTGTATAAAATATATTACTTTGTCAAAAAATTTCATTCTTCTAATTTATTTAAACAGATATTAACTGTGGTTTATCTAAGTAAATTTTGAAGAATTGTGTGTCTAATTCATGATAAAATTTTGTACTTTCTTCATTAGTGTTCTAGTACCCTGACATTCGATTACAATCCTCATTAACACCAAGAATCTAGTATCGAGTAATTCATATTTCTTAACAAAATTATTAGATATATTTATAGAGTCATCCATTATATCAGTCTATATTTATATCTATATTTAATTAGATATATCAGATGTCTTATATCACTTATCAGATATACATCTATTCTGATAAGAGATTAACAAAAAGCGTAAATGAAATCGTATGTGAAGGCTTGATAAGAAACTCTCGCAACATTATCACTGCAGACAGTAGCCCGTTCATCTATTTAGCCTGCTCTGGGCTATCACTCGCTTATATTGGTAATAAGCATCTCTTACAAGCAACTCTTCTATGCATCTCTTACATGTTCTTTTTAAAAAGGAATTGATACTTTTAGGGTTATTCTACAACAGTAGTTTGCTGTTATTGAAAAGTTGAACTGGAAGTATATTCTGAAAAAACAGGTATTAAGAACATAAAGGTGGATGGTTCAATGGGAAAAGAAAACTACTAATTGTCCGTTTGCATGAATCAATTCTAATATTACCATATTTATAGTATTTGTTAGATCATATTACTTAT